TTTCGTTCCTCGACACACACATAGTTTCCCTTTCTTGTCGCAGCTGAGTCGGTTGTCGCCGACCAACTGACATTTGGTTTTTTACCATCTTCAAGCTTCCACCAGTAGCAATCGCTTTCTGAACAAGATCACGATGATGTAAACGAATATCGTTTCTTATCATCCTTCTCAGCAATTTGCAAGTTTCGATGTATGCTACTCGGTCTGTTAGCGTATTCATCTCTCTCTTCAGTTGCTGTCGCTGTCTCATTAGTGATAGGGTGTCAGTGGAAAGGTAGTGGCGAGCTTGGGTACGTCTTATAGCCACAGATGCCGCGTTCCTGATATACCTGCATATTTCTTGATAACGATTCGATGGATCTTGAATGGTTCGAGGACAAATTCTGGCCAGTTCCATCTGGTAAGCGTCTCGGTCTAGATAAGACTTCGAACGTGTTCTCTTTCTCATTCTGGTAGTGCAGCTGTGTATCTCTAAAATTCCTCGTAGAAGCCGATGATCAGTTTCAAACTGTATCGATCCTGTTCTGATACTGTTGAAACGAAGGTGACGGCATGCAAATATATGGTCGATACAGCTAAAAGTCTTCCCGTTCGGAGATCTCCAGGTCCACTTTCGTCCATTCCTGGTCTTGAAAAACGTGGCAGCTGCCCGAAGTTGTAGTTCTTCGCAGAAGTCTACAAGTATTTGCCCTCGTGTATTTCGACAACTATCGTACGTATGCCTTCCAAGAGAACTTTCCATGTCATTTGTCTTCTTCCCTAAATGTGCATTAAAATCGCCCAATATGATTGGATGTATTTTCGACGTATCGTGCATCATTTTCGACGTCGGTCTTACTCCGCATGGTGTATACTTGTTTGCGGAGTCAAGTATGATGGCTTGAATGTTTTCGACATGTGCACAATATTGTTCGTCGTCTTCTGCTGTGGAACTTGCTGAAGGGGGTACATATACCGCCAAAAACCGATACAAATTCGCATCAAATCGTACATCCAAACGAGACATTCTGTCGTTTTCTCTTGAAAAAGCATCCACGAAAGGAAGAAGGCGGCGACTCACGAAAAAACCGGTTCCAGATGGTCCTTGTGTGTCTTCAGGCCCAGCATGGAAGAATTTATAATCTGAGTCTTCGAGGTCTATACTCCCTGTTCCTTTCCATCGTAGCTCCGTAACTGCGAGGATGTCCAAAAATGTTCTTCTGAGTCCTTCTTGAAGTTCGACGAGTCGTTCTCTGTTTGAAAGTCTTCTAACATTAAGTGTGGCGAAGTGAATGGAATTGAATAGAGGGTGGAACATACTTGACCCGGCCGTTCCAGTGCTTCCTGGGCCAAGGAGTATCTTCTATGCTGACGAGGCGAGTCGAAGAAGACGTCGGTTCGGAGAGAGTGGAGTGAACCGACCGCTCACCGTCCGGTATCGAAGAAGACTCGCGCAGGCGCTTAAGTACTCGAAATTGCTCCAATTTCTCATCAACAGATAGTTTCGTCGCAAGTCATTGCGATATTTATGTTCAGGTGGCCGAGCTACTCATGGAAACAAATTTTAACGACTTTGGTGCCTTAGGATATTTGCGCCAGAGCCTATGGCGCGGGCGTAGGGTAAATTGTGTCAAGTGACTGCGAGATTCCATTCAGAGGGTCAAGCTATCCCTAGGAACACGTTTTTAAGCAACTTGGTTGTTTTCACATCTTTATTATTGGAGCAATATACTGACAGACAGCATTGTCTGACACCGTCCCACGAAACAGACTGGGTGTCGCCCACCATTGTCTGACATCACCGTCAACGTGTTAAACGTTGAAAGCAACAAAGTAACCTTTCCTGTAAACGGAGCTGTAAGTCTCCATAGATAAGCTTCCAGAGAAAGTTCCTGGCGTTGTTCCATCCACACACAATAAGAACCCAGGTTCCTCAGTGCAACATGCAACACAGACAGTGCAACAGATTAGTGTCATGTCACGTATACCATGATTGCTCGCTGAAGATGATTGGCCAGATAGGTGAGGTTCGCTTTGGCGCGACGACTCCATTCCCCACCAATTCGAAGCTGGTACACGAATGAGAAAATTGATGTGATACAGTCATGTTGCCTGCCAAAAAAGCGGGCTGGCGCTGTGCCAGATCCACCCCTGACGCGCCCCGTCATTCACAGCGACACGCTGGATGAGCGTCGTGCGCCAACTTCCCTGATGTTCCTGCAGACAGTTGCAATGTGTTTTCTCCCATACAGTTTTAATCCTTATGAGAATTATAATTCACAGGAAGAGCTCGGTGCGCAATAATCAACAATAGCAAAAAACGAAACCGGGAATATGTTTATCTCTACAAAACAACAACGCAACAAAGACCTCAACATAAAACAATCTATTTGAAAATCTTTCCTTGATTAAACTTCTTTCCGTCAAAGTCGCCCTCCCACATTAGGTATTCGTTCACCATCTTCTTTGTTTTCTCATCTTTGGGGTCAAGTTTGGTCCACGTGTAAGATTCGTAATCCACCTGAAATTTTTGAATAAAAACCTTGGCCTTGAAATCCGTATTTTTACCAGAAAATGAATAAGAATGTTGCAAACATATTGGAGGACGGAACGATTAAACGAATCCGACCAACGAGTGAAGCATTTATTTTGGAAGAATGTAACGCTGAACTGTTAAAAGAAACGGTCCAAATGACTTTTCTTCCTCTGCGGTACTAAACATACCATATGAGATCGATGAGGCACAAAGTATTTTCTACCCACCTGCCAATCAGGCGATAGTGGGAAAGCGAGCTCTTGACCTCTCCATACCCAGATACCGCTAATGGTGGAATTATTGTCAGTTCCGAAAAGGATCATCGAGGCAAAAGCGTTCTTTTGAGCTTCTCCAGCCGTTGGAACATACCTGAAGAAACTTACTGTAAATGCTTGCAACAGTTGCAAAAGGAAAAGCGGCAGAATGGCCCTAGTTCAAAACAACATAAACAATCTCTTATAATCGACCACCTACCAGAAATGAGATTGCAGCTCATGAAGGTAAGCGTAAGCTCCGTTGGGTACTTGTATTCACAGAACCAGATGGAATTCGCTTCGGCGTCAAAGTTATCCCAGAAGTAGGGGATCGCTTTCGTTGCAGTGTCCTCGTTTGAATACACCCGTTTGAAAGAATCCATCACGAATGTTCCCTTTGGCATTTCTGCAAATGGGTCCTTCGCTTTCTCGACAACAACGCCGTCTTCAGCGCCGTCGTCAGCTTCTGGTTCCTTCGCCTTCGGGGCTGGCTTTGGATGATCCGGCTTTGGATGATCCTTCTTCTTCTCTGAAATAAAGACCGTCATTCAAATTTCGATTATTAGTATCTTCAACTGGTTTCTTGTCTCCTTAATTAAAGTGCAGCAGATAGGAACTGCGATTCCTTATAAATGTACAGATTTCACCAAAGACATGTATTACTGGTCATACCGGCGGGACCAATACAGTCATTACGTGAAAACCCAGAGGTATTGCGACAATCCTGGCGAGAACACTAGAACAGCGATCTCGTTCGGTATCGAACACCAACGATATACCACCGCCGTAACGCAAAACCAATGTCGAAAATTGGATTGCTGACTGCGCAGTGGTTCAAAAAAAGACGGCCAGTCTCAAGAACCAAATAAAAGATAAAGAATAAAGTTTTCGGCGTTGATCAGCCCTTTTTGTGATGTGGCACACACTATTATTCCATTCCGTCGTAGAGGCTTAGTGAACGCGATGTAGCACATATGATGACCTGTGGAGGTCAGCCGACGTATAAAGCCAGCGCTTTTACCCTTCTAGACCAATCCGGTGTCAAGCTACCGTCACAAGAAGTAGAAGGTTTGGTTGCACTAGGCTTAAGCCGATCAGTGATTTGACCCCACGACCGGAACCAAAGCGTACCACTTGTCACTACACCACTTCCGCATCAGAAAATGTATATCCTATCTAGGAAACACCGTATATTGTGAGTTTTAGCGCCGAAGGGAATAGGCTCGTTGCAATGTGTACGTTCGGGTACCGAACACGGGTCAATGAAGCTTTGAACAAGGCAATCAGCCTCCTTGTCGATCGAATTAGTAACAAGCACTTTAAAAGGATAGCATCGGCCAGCCGACACAATTCATTGAAAACTGTATAATGCGGAGAATGGGGACAGAGTTAGCTAACCGTCCCGGAAAAGGAGAGGTCATCACGGAGACAATCACTTCTATCACTTTTGTCGAAATAAAAGCAGGATTCAACCACGTGCGTACTTTTGCCAAACTTTCCACTCCATTAAGTAATACAACCAAGAGCTACCAAGAAATCATCTGCGAGTTCCACATATCCAGGTTTCTTCACTATATGGTGCCTTTCACCTCAGCAACTTGTCCTCGTTTCATGTTCCAGGCGACCTCAAGCTAAGTAAGAAAAGAAGCTACTATTTGGTTGTGCGGAACGTTTTGAAAAGTTTGCTCTTTTAGACTGAAGAAGATCGAGGGAATGGCCAATACAAAAACGTGTGCAAATCCTGTGATGAGGAGAAATGCTGTAGATCAAATATTGCGCTGGGTGGCACACGTCTTCAACGTTGGCATGATTTAACATTTGCTGGAAAATGTACAAACGCCACGACTACCAACGCCTTCTACTTCACCTTCACAGTTCTGGCTGCTCCACCAATCAAACCGGGAACGAGGCACTGTCGCCTTGATAGACAGAATGCACTTCAAAATTAATGGTTGGTGTTCAGTCGGGTTTCTATATGGGAATTTACTTTCAACGTTGGCATGCCTGTCGCTTTCTCGTCACACACAATCTTCTGGCTTCCATGCAAAGTAATTCTGCTCAGAAGTGAGGCAGCGTTCAGACTTCGCGACGGCAGCGCTCCGACAGCGCGTTCGACGCGCTTCGGTAGCGCGTTCGGCGCAATCGATGCAGTACAAAGCATGTGCATGGATCGCGTTCGACGCGCTACCGAAGCGCTGCCGTAGCGAAGTTTAAACGCTGCGTAAGGCACATTCCGCGATAAAATAAGGCTATGACCTCTCAAATGTGTCGGACGATCGCGGAAGCGATTTTTGAGGCTGCGCTACTCTCAAAATGTGAAAAAAACGGCAAGACTACCTAGAAGCTGGCTAATTAGGCCCATGGACACCCCTTAGGCCCATGCCGACCCTCACCGGCTGCTAGCTACTAGCTAGTAGCCACTATGTTATCTTTCTCTATAACATTTCGGACTGCTTTTACTGCTGCTTTTCTCCGCTAATCAGATACTTAGCACTTTTTTGTGCCTATTTGAGTTCCGTTTCCCGCAATTTGCGGTCGCGAACTGTGCCTTTAAGATGGAAAGGACAATAGGTTGACCAAAAAGTTTTGATAGGGTTTTTTGAAAGTTCCAGAACTTTCGATTCTTGATCGATACCAATGATCTACCATGTGGTAGTGGTAGAACATTCTAGAGTAATGGGTATATATAGGCGCGCTTCCTCCTTTAGCTTGCAACCGTTCGCAACATCAACAGCGTATGGAGGGAGGACACCACTTCCATCGCTACGGTCCATCGCTGGTTCGCTCGCTTCAAGGAAGGAGACACGGACTTCGAAGACAAGCCTCGGTCGGGACGCCCCTCGCCGTCGACGACTCCGTCATTCTCGACGCCGTCAAAGAGGATCCGGAAGTTAACACCCGCAGTCTTGCGACGAGACTTGGGTGTGCCCAATCAACAGTCGTCGGTCGCCTTCAGGCCCTCGGTTACAGAAAAGTGCTGACTCGATGGTCTTGACCGATAGCATGCGGTACACCCGGGTATCCATTTGTCAGTCTCTCCTTCTCCGCCCACATCGCAAGTTTCTGGAGGACCTAGTTACTGGAGATGAAAGCTGGATCCTCTACGACGCTAACAAGCACCGCGCCGTCTGGCTCCCGCGAGGAGAACAGCCGCCGACGCAAGCCAAATCCGACCTCCACCCCAAGAAGTTTCTCCTTTGCTGCTTCTGGGATTCAAAAGGAATGCTGTACTACGAACTGCTCAAGCAAGGCCACACCGTCACCGCTCCCTATTACGCTAGTCAGCTGCAGAAACTGCGACATGGTTACACATCCATCCTATTCAACTGATATTGCCCCCTCAGATTACCACTTGTTCCGGCCCCTCAAGGCTTTCCTAGCAAAAAAAAAAACGATTCGTCAACTATGACCACCTTGAACAAGTGGTCGGTGACTTCTTTGACTCCCAATCTCCCCAGTTCTGGGAGAAGGGAATCGCTGACCTGCCCGTTAGGTGGGACAATGTTATGACTAACGATGGTTATTATATTGTTGATTAGCTTGCATTGTTTGCTGAGTTGTAAAATAAAACAGAAAAATCTCAACCTACCAAAACTCCCAACCCCACCAAAAATTTTGATCAACAATATTTACTATAACTATTGGTTTGCATGTCTTATTGTTTTTAATAGTGTTGGATGAACTGATCGGGGATTCCCAAACTTGCCGGACGCATTTCCTGCGATATATATTTCCTGTGAGTGTATGTTGACCAGTAACTATAGTTGGACTGCCAGTAAAAACACAGTTTTCGAGTGTCGTGTATGGTTTAGCAAGTTTTCCACAATAGGTATGGCTGTGTTCATACATCACTTCATTGCAGAAATGATGAAAATGCAGATAGAGAAAAGAATAGGTATCTATTTGAAAAACTGCGGAATTGGGAGAAATGCAGAAGGGCAGAAATGCCGAAATTACAGGTAAAGCAGTGCCAAAATTACAGGTAGGAATCGAACGCTTGGTTTCTGCCGCTATGTGGAATTGGGAGAAATGCAGAGTGCGAGAAATGCAGAAATGCGGATTCGACAGAAAAACGAAGGACAGCGACTTGATAGGGACTGATCGCCATCGGGAATGCGGAATCTGCAGAAGTGCCGAAATGCAGAAGTTTCGTCACATTTGCAGATTACGCGGTCTTTGGAATCGGGAAACATACTTCCTCTCTTCTGCATATTCCACAGTTCTTACATTCCGCGGTTCGGCATTTCTGCATCATGTATGAACGCTGCCTATCCTTATGTTTGTGGAACATCTAAAACCCATCTAAAATCTGAGTTTTTCTGAGCTGAGGTTACAGAAAAAATGGTGGTTCTTTGGCCCAAGAAATTCATTGGCAAGCAAAGTTCTTCCAAAAAGCACAGCAGGTTTGCAGCATAAAAAATTTGGGTCCCTAAATGTCTGCTTATGTGCTCTTCTTGGAACCATCAACATTAATCCTTAAATTTCAAAAAGGCGTCCATAGAGGCTACAGAGGGAATAATAAAAAAATTTTTCTTGACTTTTGAGAGGTTTAAGAAACGCTCCTTTTGCTTCACTTGAAATGTCAAGTAGGAGAACTCAATGGAACAGAAAACGAGAAAAAATATTGAGCAAAGTAAAAGATTACGACTGACAAAGCACTGTTGTCACATCCTTCTGAGAGACTACGTAATGCAAAATACCGTCAAATAAGGAATTGGAAATAAGTCAAATGAAGTCACTAAATGCAATCAACTAACCCTCTTTCTTTGGAGTATGTTTAGCATGTGGCTGGTGTTTAGACGAGATCTCGTTGAACTTTGCTTCTAAACACGTGTATTACTGATAGTAAGTGAAAAAAACTACAGCAACAAACTTACGGTTAAACTGTGATACTTTGTCGCAGAGTTGTACGTCCTTTACCACATCCTTTACGGCAGGCTGATGCATGATAGTTTGGAACCACCTCGTGACATTTCCAAACTTTTTACGCATCGCAGCATCAAGAACGTGCTGGAAATGAGATAAATGAGCATATGCATAGAAAAACTCAAATTGAAGTTTTGGACCTGGAAGGCAGGAAGCAGGTCTAGAGCAACAGAAACATCTGCCAAAGAAAGACGCTCGCCGACGAGGAAGGTTTTCGATAGAAGGATTTCGTCAAGATGTGTTAGTTGAGCAAAGAGTTCCGCCTTGTAAGTGTCAACAACCTGAATTAATAACTGAAATGCTACGCTATCGTGTGAAGAAAAAAATGTTGGCTTACGAACCAGTGAAGAATGATCACCAACCTTCTTGTCAAGATGCGCAGCCGAAACTGACGGAAGAACGTATCCAAGAACTGTTGGAAGCAAAGTTCCCTCGGCCCATTGGAGCCACTGTACGGTTTCAGCGCACTAAAAAACTTTCAGAAAAAAGTATCAGACGAAGGCAAAAGCAGCGAAGAATGAACGTACTCACGTTCTTGGCGCATGTACTTTCACAACCAGCTACATGGATGGCAATTGACTCAGCACCAAAAAGGTTGACGTCACCTTCAAATGCTGGCGTCTGAAAAGCCGCACCGTGAGAATAACAATACTCCGCTAGGAAACAAGGGAAAGTCATTCCAAAAAGCAAATGAGCTACGATATAGACCATCACTCGAATACCACAAGATTTTGATCCTCTCCAAAGAGCAAAAGCAGCAAAACGCTCAGAATGGCGTGCATTTAGTCTGGTTCACAGTGGATGATGAGCGCAAGCGTGGTTGCGTATGGTGAAGCGGCAAGCTGTCCTATTCCATCAGTTGTCACTTACCCGCTTCAAAAACCTGTACAGAATGGGTTTGGCGTCGTGCCACAGCCGCGGGAACACGCCCCAACATTCGCCGCGGCGCAGACTGTTAAAAAGAATGGGTGCGCATTGGGCGAAGTACTTCCCTCACTGTTAAAATACTCTACTAGCTAAGTGATGAGCACCACCCCGGACGCAAGAAAACAGCACCAGGAACTCCTAGACGACTAAAACAAAAGCAAGGCATTTGAGCTGTTTTAAGAAATAGCAAAATACTATCTTCCTTATTTCATGGTTCGTCCACTCCTCTTACGTCTCACAATTACTCAATGAATTCAAATCTGAGTAACGGTATAAAAAACTTACCACGCCAAGTGGAAACTTATCAGCAGGCGGGACCTCGCCGGCCAGCTGCAAGTCGGCATTCCCGAGCTTCGCCGCAATCAGGACCTTCTGCGTCCTGAAGTTGTCCTTGTGGCCATAAAGTTTCTAAAACAAAACGAATTAGGACAACGATCTCAAGGCAAGAACCATGACGTTGAAAGAACTCAGTAACGGAAAAACGTCAAAATGATCCAAACTAAACTATTTCACCCACCCCCTTAACCATTTCGCTGGACGGTGAAGCGGACCTCCAAAGAAGGTGCTTAAAATGACGAAATCCGCAATCCGACACTAAACAAGGCTCACCACTGCGTAACTACCCGCCCGTCATACACGAGCAGCCATCCACGCAGTCCGAGGCATTATTTACCGTACCTCGGTTCGGCAGCGCGCGAAATTTAAGAGCACGAAATTTTTCCGAAATGTGTGACGGTGGGACAGTTGCTTTTCTTTATTTTTCCAACTTTTCTTTTTTATCTTCACACGCATTGTGGAGCAGTATATTCCCGAGGTTCCGGTGCAGACGTATTTGGGGGGGGGGGCACGCGACTTGCGGCACGCGATGACTCCGCTCTTCTGCTTCCTCGGCGCATGAATATAACACCGCCCTAGGGCAAAACAATTAACGTTGAAAACTCGCGAAGAAACAATTGTAGGTCGCAAGATCTTTGCCTGAGCCTACAAGGGAAGGAATTCTGGCCTAGATGAACCCATCCTTTGTGTAAAAGTGACAATCAACCAATCCGCAGAATCTACACAAAGAATCTAGTCGGCATTTCTGCAGATTGGGCGGAATTGGGAGAAATGCGGTTTTTCTAAGATACGTGTACAATCCAGAATTATTAGCGGTGCTAACGTAGTTGGGAGGGGGCTCGCGGCGAGTGATGACTCATCGACTCTTCTGCTTCCTCCTCGGCAAAAAAGAAGTAATTTCATGTTTAGGACATGGATATAACACCGTCCTAGCTATATTCAAAAGCTAAAACAGTTAAGGCTGAAAAGTGCGAAGAAACAGTTGTAGGCTGGAAGATTTTGCCTAAAATACAAACGATTGTTGCCTTTTTGTTGATTCTTGACTATAAAAGATCAAACATTTGTTGTTTTCAGCTTCTGTGGGATTTCTCAGCAAGTTTTCGGTGAATCTTGTTTGTTTTATTCTAATTTTGCTGCTAGATTAACGCTCCAAGTATGTCAATGAGTGAAGAGCCGATGAGTCATCACTCGCCGCGAGCCGCGTGGCCCCTCCCAACTACGTTAGCACCGAATATTCCTGTAAGTGGTGTGGAGTGACATGCGGTGCGGTCACTTTTAACATTATCTCATTCATCTTAATCGTGCACCCTCCACTTTTCCTAAATCCTCCCTTTTAGTACTGTTCACAAAGGACTTGAAAAATTGGGGAATCCTTAAGGAAAAGTACATATACATGTTGAAATAGGTGATGTGCCAAGACAGTGACGCGCCGGTGGGCGTGGCGATCGACGCTCGCAAGACGAATAGTATTACTGTTGGGTTAGAACGGTAAAAGGAGGGAAAAGAGCTGTATCGATCGGTATGGAATTTTGCCTCGCTCGAATTCACATGAGTTACGCTGCTTCGGCAGACTAATGTCGGCCGACTAATGCACAGCGAGAACCTACCATTGAAAAAAAGGCTGAATAGCTTGCTGTTTAGATGGGGGAGAGGTATTTTACACACTCACTAGTTTCCGTTGCATTGAGCAGTACATCAATCCAGAATGAGGAAATTTCGTTTTGGGCACGATTGCTAATTGCACGTGCTTTCAAGGTGTAATGTCCTTCACAGATGTCCGCAATGTACACGTCAAAGGAAGCATAACGGTGTGCACTGACAGGACTCTATCCTCAGACAAGGTACAGCTCTGCTACCCAATTTCGTTTTGCTATTTCTATAGTGTGCTCATACTTTGCTACTTGAGCGACTGCGAACGAAGGCGCTTCACCGCCAGTCGATGAATCGCTGCAAGGAATAAGGTCAGCCTTTGAGGGGAACTACGCCCGAAACGACCCACGCCTCCCCCACTTATTTATCCGCCATACTGCATACCGTTCCCCTACATTCTCCCAACTTCCTCCCACTTTCCGGGGAAAATTTCTAGTTTTCCCTCTAAAGCTTAAAGGAGGTGTATAGCATCACTGAATCGGGAAAGACTAAAATTCAGCAACCGAGAACATTTTTCTCAACAGCAACTATGACCCCTTTTCCCAGCGACCACATACGCCCCCCCCCACTTGGGGAAATCTCAATGTGCGGTGCCCTGAATAGGATTCTCAGGTCAATACTATCATTCCTGTGTGTAGGAAGGGACACGGATAGTCGAGGCACGTCGAAGTTATCTTTGGATATAGACGTACAAGTAAACCGAGAAAATATGTTTTTGAACTTTTCTGTTTTGCCCTTGAACCCGCGGCTCAGGGCCACCGGGCGATTGCGCTATTCGTTACGTTACCGTTGAAGAAAGCATGGTTGGAAGACCTATTCTATACGCGACAGAACTAGCCATTGCAGCGGTTCAAGCCCGTTTGCTAGCAGTCGCTCGACATGACCGGCTGCAACCACCCAGCTCACAAAGTATGAAAGCACTCCAATCGTTCGTTTAGTTTCTCACCTGCGGTACGGATGGGACAATATACGTTTGGGATGAAAAGACGATAACGGAAAGAGAAGCTGCTGAAATCAAAACCGTTGGGGACGCAACACATAGTTGCTGTGCGTGGAACGTGAGTTCGATTGTGTTGCACTGATTTCTATTGTTGAAAGTTGTTGCTCGTGCCGCATATAATAGACATGAGCACGGTGGCGGGCGCGGGTTGTCGCCTGCTTAACTGATGGAAGGGTTGAGTGGGGATGGCCGAACGTCCTTTACTAGCCGTTCCACCAGTGACGCAGGCGACAACCGCCCGCCTCCAGCACTCGTGCTTAATGGCTTTAAATACTGCTTCATATACCATTCACAATATTGACTGAACGTTTTCATCAAAAGGGTGCTGGCACCCTTCTACTGTTCCTTCAAAACTTTCGGTTTTGTAGTAATCCTTGTTCATGGGGTTGTGAGTTGTCTGATGGCTTTCGAACTGTTGCAGCTCTTCACATTTAGCTTGAGGTTACACCCATAAACGTTTACCGCATTGACTGAGATGAGATACACTCGTGAGCCGGTGTAAGAAATGGCTGCACTGGCTGTGTCGCAACAGCTGCATAGCAGTCGCTACCAGATTTTTCCTTCATTCAGGGTGGCAACGTGTTTGTTGGTCTCACAACAACCGACCTGCTGACTGGTGTCGATAAGAAGATTGTTGGGCAGTGCTCTCTGAATGATCTCGAGTCGTGCAGGCAGCTGTTTACATTTTCACTGGAGGTTACTAGCATTGATGCTAGTGAGAACTATGTTGTGGCGGGAGGGAGGTAAGTACTGTTCAGACTTTTTGGGCTTCACTCAGTCGTGCACGCAGGGGCTCTTAGCACTATGCTGTGCAAGACTTTCGATCTTATTACAGTTTACTGCTGAGTTAGTGCGTTGCATTCACGGTGGTAGCTGGGCACTTCTCCACTTCCTTAATGGTAAACAAAGCCAAAAATTCAAGGTTGATGAAGCCCATGGGTATATAGAGTGGGTTATTCTTGTGATGAGCTCGTCCAACGCGTATATGAGCATCGAGCACTCAAGCTGCGTTCATACTTTGTGGTCAGCGTACGCAAGTGCAGGCAGCGTTTCGAGCGCACGCCAGCGCAAGCGACTAGGAAACACAGGTATCGATCAAGCGTATGCCAGCGTACAGCAGCGTTTCGAGCGACTAGTAAAGTATAGATATCGATCATTGTACGGCATACGCTGGTGGACGCTCGAATTGATCGAAATCTTTACTTTCCACGCAATGTACGAAAGCTTAAGCTCACATACGCTGAGACAGGGCACGTCGTACGCTGGGGATTCTCAGCGAGAGGGGTCCTATTCGGCCGCTGGAGGGTGTCGTATTTGTCTTTGGGAAAAGTGCTTTCGGTTGTTAATTTCTCTCGGTGTCTCCTTTTTTGAGCCTTTATGTCAGCATCACCCGCTCAACATCGATCACTCTTGGAAAGTTGGGGGAGTTCACAGAAAAAAAAACCTCGGAAAGTGATAGTAAATCCGTAGAGAACATAATAGGTCGAATTGGGGGACGAGAAAATCGTACTTTAGGAGGAAATTCCGAGAGTGGGGGTCCTATTTTGCGAAAACTTTACTGCAGGACGTACCACGCTCTGAGAGCTTCTTAGGTGCTGCCAAACTTGAAAAAACTTGATCTCTGGTAACTAATTTTACAGCTGCCTACATTGTGTCTCATTTCAGCATTTAGTTCATTCGGTTTGCGGCCAATATTGCTCATTTTTAGTGATTTCACCGTGAAGAAAGTCAGTTTGAAAGACAGCGGTCAGTACGACAGAATCGACACGAACGGTGAAGTCCTTTCAGTGTCAGTTGATCCTAAGGAGGAGGTGAGCTCGCTTTTCGAAACATAATCTAGTAGAGGCGGTGAGGGTTGTTTTAAAGCAAACGGTGGGGTCAAATCTCGCGTTGGCCGGCACTCAGCCCAACCAAGTGTTCCAGTAGAGCCGAGACCGGACCGTTCTGATGTTTACAGGATAGAAACAGTGATCTGAACATCGGTTTCCCCCGTTTCGTGGGTGGTTCTCAACACATGGCAGGCTCCCTGAAGTCCCGCCAGGTGTTTTCCTCTTCTCTGGTTTCTCTGGTTTCTCCAATCTTCACAACTCTCAAAGACTAGGTGTAATTTACGAGAAGCACCATCCTTGTCGTTTCTCCTCCCCCCCCCCGTATCTGGACCGGTATGGGACCGATTTATGAATTGTTGTCTGCGACACCGCTCATTTCCGGCGTATCTCCCACTTCTAGGGCAGGGCCTAGCGTGTCCACCTGTGACTTGACCTCCCCACTTTGCCGTCCAAATTGAAAAGAATTTCCCGGCAAAGAAAAAACAAGTAGAGG